TTATAAATGTATGGAGTAGTAGTAGAAAATCTCGTAATGCTTTCGTTTTATAAGTTTAATTAATCCCTGACATTTCACTTTCGCGATTTTTATCGCGCATTAATATTTGGATTGATGTTCACGGCATAGTATCACTCTTTACATCGAGAAAATAACTCAAGCTACAATTACCTCGAATATTAATGCATTTACTAACACCTGTGGATTAAGAGAATTCAAGTGTATATTTTTTTTTAATTCAGCTGAGAAGCACTGGGAATGTTACGATGAATCTAGTGTTTTTTGCTTGCATTCTTCTGATTTTTAAAGTGTAAGATTCGGAATACATATTGTGCAGGATCTGATTATATCCCTTGTTAACATTAAATGTTATATGTGAATAAAGTGAATATATTCGTTTTTCATATAAACTGTAATAAAATGTACTGACTTCTACTTACATATATAATTGGTGTAAATATTTCATATAGATATTTTTGCGCGGTGTCCAACATGTGTTTGTATTTATTTCAAATTCTTTCAACCAGGTAGTGAAATTTTCACAATTGCTTATATTTGATCTAACTTCGCAATGAAAAATTTTCAGAAGAAATCGACGATGCTTTAATTATTTTGTACAGAAAATTGCGTGACAAAATATTTTCAACCATTTTGCTTAAATCTTAAAGCACGCGAAATGTCATGTGATATGACAGAAATATCACTTGGATGCCCATCGATCCATTCTAGAAGCCACTCCCTCGGTGGCTACACAGATGTGCACTTGTGAAATATGACCCTCGGGGGAAACGGGTCGGAGGGTCTCCCACCCCTCTGCTCTTCCATCAAACCACACGAGAGGACTTTCGGATCGCCGCAGATTTGGAGTGCCCCCATGCCGTACTGACACCATACATTTACAAACAATCATGCCTTCTCCGGGATACCAACCCGGGGCCTTCGGCACAGCAGTCTGCGACGCTAACCACTATACTGGTTAGGCGACTGGAGAACTCATTGGATGTTTATAATTGCGTACCATACCATTGTTCTTGCAAATGTAATATTAGTCTTTCTCTGTAGTTCACTGTGGGTAGCGCTCCCAGTGAACAGGACCAATGGATTCGACCATTACAGAGCAATGCTAAACGGATCAATGTTCAGCCATTGTATTAAAAGCGACGCTAACCACTATACCGCTTGGAAGGCATTTTAAACGAAATAGATTACTTTCCAAGCTTTGTAAAATAATAGTCTGCCTTCTGCTTTCAGGAAATAAATTATTTTCTGAAATATTCGCTCTAAATTATATTCAGTCTTCCTTTTAAAATGGTACGTGAAAAATGCTATCGGTCTTGCTACCAATTACTACCAATCCTACTTTCATATATAAGCATATATATATATATATATATTCAAAGTTGCTACTCTTTTATTATTGTATTATACGGTTTTATATTTTCGTATTATACGGTTTTACATATTTTATTATCGTATTATACGGTTTTACATATTTTATTATCGTATTATACGGTTTTACATATTTTAATATTGTATTATACGGTTTTACATTTTCGAATGCTTTAAATAATTGTCTGATTAAATTTGAAGTCAATTCAAATGCAACTTTCATTCGCTTCTTGCGGGTTTATGAATCAGGAACAATGCTCGGAATTTGAGTAATGCTGTTTGGGGGTAAAACTACAACAAATTTCAGTCTTTCATGAAGGGGTAGTCATTTTAACGGGGTTCATACACCTTAAACCCCTTATGATCTTCGAATATGTGACTGTGCAAGAATTGGAATATTTTTATTTATTTAAAAATCAATTATTTCCAACTTTTTACAGCTGACTACATAATATAGCTGCTTTAAAAACAAGTAACGAGAAAATTTGTGTTGCCACAAATATTTTTGTAATTTAATCCGCTTTGTGACAAAATGTTTCGTCATGTTTCCATCTTGCGCGCGTGATATTTTAAAAATGGCTAATGGTATATACTTGAAATTGGATGGAATTCTTTATATGAGCACTATTTTCTACCTGAACCAAAAATCTGATGAACACTTTAATATTAAAAAAAATTATGCACGAAAACATTACAGATTTTTTTAATAAAATACATTTTTTAAACTCAACTCCAAATAAATTTTAATTTAAAATGAAATTCTTAGAATTTTCGGTTCACAGCAGTAGTTTTCAAATGTTATAAAAGCTCTACATTAAATATAGAATTACATTATGCAACAGAATGTTTCAAACTGTGCGCGCAAATTTGAAAACATGACGAAAAATTTTGTCACAAAGCGGATTAAATTATAAAAATATTTGTGGCAACACAAACTTTCTCATTACTATTTCCGAAAGCAGATATATTATGTTGTCAGCTGTAAAAAGTTGGAAGTAATTGCTTTTAAAATAAATAAATTATCCAAATTCTTCCAACAGTCACATATTCGAAGATCTTATGAGTTTTAAGGTGTATGAGTCCCCTTAAAGAGCTGATGCTTATTTTTGTTCACAAAAATACTGGTCACTCTCAGAAGTGATCGTCTATTTTAGGTGGTCACTATAAAAGGCTACACTTTATATTGTCTGTATTAGCAAAAGAAAAGACTCAACAAGTAAAATACTAAGAAGTTAAGGAAACCTGTGCTTAAATCATGTACTAAGACGTGTTCTATAACAATTTCTTCATCAGCACTGCATTTCTTGAGACTTCGAAGAAGGTGTGTTCTTTTCAGTTTACATGAAAATTTTGTTCATAGGAAGGAATATATGAACTCTTCATGCCCTGGAAACCGAGGGACAAGAATAGAGAGAATCTAGTAGCAGCCCTCGGCAAGTGTTGGCAATGTGCTGAACACAAGACCGTTCATTTATCTTTCCAGCTGCCTTTCAGTTAAAGAATTACTGTAGATTTTGCTTTCACTTAAACATGTCTTTAATAGATTTTTCAACTTTAATTAATCTGGCAATATAAATAAACATTAGTTTAAAATTAAGAAATGCACTTCTAAATAATTTAAGCCTTAATTTTGTTTTTTAAAAATATATCTAACTGATATAAATCAAAACACATTTAAATTTGTAATATATTAAATGCTATATTACAAATATTATTAATATATTAAAACTTCGTTATAATTAATAAAAGAAGTTTCTAGAGCCGCATACTACACAACTGGCGGAGAATAATTTTTTTATTTTTTTCCTTTAACGTGTTTAGCATATTTCATATTTTGAAATTTTTAATTTTAAACTCTTCTTCGAGACGATAGATAATAATCCAGAATTTTCAAATTGCACTTTATAATTTTTTTTTAATTCCCACTCAATTTAAAATCATTTTTACTTCCTTGTACGAAGTAAAAAGGAAGTATTGTAATCGCGAAAAGTTTCAGGCATCATATTTTAAGGCAAATATCCATTTTCACCGCTATCGAATGCAATTTAACTATGTTTTTGCTTGACATCTGTGCGTAAGGACAGAATAAAGGACGCTTTTCCCCCAAAAAAATTGTAAAGCTAATTCAAAAGGAATTCTAAAGAGAATTTTTCGTGGCATCTGTACGTACGTATATCTCGCATAACTCAAAAACGAAACGTTGACATTTTGTATATAGTACTGCTATAACAAGTAGATGTGCACCTCGTATTTTGGTTACAGTCGACCGCACCAAAAGTATATAAATATATGTATATATATATATATATATACATATCCACTTTGTTACTCGGCTTAGTGATCTCAGTTTCTTTATTTTTATATGTTTGTAAATTGTGCATTTTTTGCTTTAAAAATGATTGATTTATGCTTTTCTTATCTTCTGGTTAAGGTTTTTTTATGCCTTTAGTAAATGCAATATTTTTAAAATTATCAACAATTTAAAAGTTAAGGGCAGCTAAGCCTAATAATTTTTGCCATGTCGGCCATTGCTTGTTTACATTTGAAACAACAGAATAGTAAATTTGTTGCCAATCTAGAGAAATGTAGCTTCGCAACAACAAAGATAACGCCTGCTTTTATTATTGCAAATTAAATCATGCTTAATCCTTTCTGGAATTTTTTCAAAGAAATAAGTGTTTAAGATTTACTTCGTAATTTTATTTTGAGTTTTTATATATTTTTGCCTTGTTGCGAAGTGAGAACTGAATTAATTGAATGAAAAATACTCAATAGTCTGTGAAAAACTCCCTTTTTTTTTTTTTTTTTTTTTTTTTTTTTAATTTCTTTTATACATCGTTCTAGCTTTATTATAATATTTGAACAGAACATGCGGCAACGACTAGATAATTCTTAAGATGATATAAATTTTGTGTTTTCTGAGTTATAATATGAACGAAATGTAATGCTTTTAAGTGAACCTAGCGTCAGAGTGTCGCTGTGGTAAAAAAAATATAGTGAATTTTAAAGAGTGCATTTATTCTATTGTGGTTTATGCGCTATCGACGAAGTAGATTTAATTAGAGAGTAGATTAATTCAATCCAATATGTTTAAATGAAATGAAAGAAAAAATGCGTATAATTTAATATTTCGTACAAGGAAGTCATGTGGTGCACACATCAGATTTTTTATATGATTGTGAAGACCGGCTGCTGGAAAAGGAAATATTTTTAATCACAGTTAAAAGGACGATTACTACTAATGATTCAGCTGCGAAAAACAGCAGTTCCTTTTGGTGATTAGCGTTTTGCTATTTTTTATGTTAAAGCAGTTGACGATTATTTTTATGTTAGGAGGAATGCCATCTTTGAGGACTTTCTTAAGCAGTTTATCTTGTATTCACTTTTTACAAGGGGAACTTCGAAGCAAACTGAATCTGGGCGAAGTATTTGTGGAATAAAGGGACTTTTGGTAGTCTAAAGTGATATGAAGATTATATTAACTAGAAATTTTTATGGAATACCTATGGAAAAAAACCTAAAAAGGGATTGCTTAATTATCAGCATATGAATTTATTTCAGTTTTCATAAATAGATGAATCTGATGTAGAATGTTTCTCTCTTTACTTTAGGCGCATGTTCCCTGCATTCAAGGTCCGAGTCAGCGGATTGGACAAGAAAGCCAAATACATTCTCTTGATGGACATCGTGGCCGCAGACGACTGCCGTTACAAGTTCCACAACAGTCGGTGGGTAGCAGGAAAAGCCGATCCCGAAATGCCCAAGAGGATGTACATCCATCCTGATTCCCCTTCAACGGGTGAACAGTGGATGCAGAAGGTGGTCTCATTTCACAAGCTGAAGATCACGAACAACATATCAAACAAACACAGTTTTGTAAGTTTACTTCTATACATTTATTGTTTATTTTAGCTTCAGAAACTTCATTTTCTTACTAAAAGTCTTCAGCTAACTAAGTAATAATATAATTCTTTCCTGAAGTAAATATGCACCCTTATGTATAGATATGAAATGTAGCAGACTATAATAAAGAGCAAGCTCGGCAGATGAAGTATTAATTTTTACTTGAAATGAAATTTGCGGCCACAAACAACTGGACATTCTCATTGTGCCTGCTCCAGAACATTCACATTTTTTATATCGTTGCGTTAGGATAAAAGCCCCAAACAGCAATTTACTTATGCCGAGGTGCTGAAAGCAAAGAAGGTGGTTTCGATTTGAATTAACTACATCATCATAATCCATGTAATGGATTAACCAACAAATGCCGCAATCCAGAAAAAGTTATTACCATTTTAGAATAGAGAGGGAAAATACCCAAATTAAAATGTGGACTTAAGGATCTATTGCTAAATTAAATTATAATTTTATATATATATTTTTTATCTTACATATTATTATATCACTTTTTATATATTATATTTGTACATATTTTTTTATCTTACACACACATATATGTGTGTAAGATAAAAATAATATGTAACATATTAATTTTATCTTAAATATAAATTAAATATATATATATAATAATGTAAAAAATAATAATGTGATAATAATTTTTTAATATTAATAATTAATAAAATAATATAATAATATGTAAAATGTTAATTTTATTTTACACACAAAATTTTGCACAAATTACAATTTTATTTTATTATGTAATTTTTACATATTATTTTTATCTTACACACACATATATGTGTGTACGTGTGTTTTGAATTGTGATTTATTTCACTGTAGATAACTTAATGTTAGAAGAGCCTTGATTAGGAAGTAAACCAATTCATTTTTTAATCATGACCGAAAAGACTGTAGCATAGATGACGACTAAAACATGATTTTTATTCTTTTTTAAGGGAACAGTTATTCAGAAACACAATTTTTTAACTGATACAACACTAGGGGTGCTAATCGCGCTCCATAGTTTTACATACGCAGTTACATTTTAGAGCAATGGAAGAATGCGGTTTTAAGCGAACAGACATCGTTTAGCAAACATGTTTAGGCGGCAAAAGAAAGTAATTAGCTGGATTGCAGGAGTATTCATAGTAAAATTTCTCGTTATCTGATTGGCTAAGAACTATACACAATACAAAAGGTTAAGATGACATAATGTGCGATTAGTTTTCAGATATGACGCAGTTCCGAAAAGGTTATTACCAGTTTTAGAATCTAGTGGAGGTAGTGCTTAAATTAAAAAGGGGAATTAAGGGGGGTTATTGCTAATTTAAAGTATAACTCAGAGTTACATATTTTTTATCTTACCTACATGTAAGTATACAGTATCGTAGAAAATTTCAAACAAAAAGATCTTAAAATTAATTTTTGCGCAAAATGCTGCTGAAAAATTAATTAATTAAAGACGAAAAGATTAAATAATTTGGAACGAATTTTTAATTCTAAATTTCAAAATAATTTTTAATTTGAAATTTTGAAATTTATTTACTAGTTTAAAATTATTTTTTTTTTTTTTTTCAAGTCTTTGAATGGGTTGGTTCAAAATTAGTTAACATTTTGGTTTATATATATATTTGCGTTCGATGGGTTGGTGGATTTGGAGTGATTGATGAAAACACTTGATGAAGAATCAAAACACAATTTATTAGCCGGTATTACTCAAGACAGTTCCAAAAACACGTTTACAGCGTCGAACAAGACAGCTTCACAGCAAAGCACTAAAGCACAGCTTCCGACTCAATCGTTCGGTCTGAAGCTAACCTCTAAACTCAAGTCACTAATACTGCACTACTCAAGATACTCCTCACGATAAAACTGCTCCTCACTATAAAACAGGCAGGTTATTTATAGCTTTTGACTTGCCTTAGAACATTCTATTTTACGTTTTATGTAAACAACATACGTTTATGGCATCTCCAATTTTGTCGCCAAATAGGCTATTTCGCTCCAAATCTGTCAACCCTGCCTTTCCTTACCATTTTCTGGCAACCCTAAACCCGCTTTGCGGAGAAGCTGTCTTACCACAGCTGGGCAAATAGCAACAATATATATATATATATGTAAGATAAAAAATATGTGAATCAAAATTATAATTTAAACTAATGGTAAAACATTAATTCTCCCTCTATTCTGAAAATCGCAATAACTTCTCTGTATTGCGTCATTTCTAGATCATTCTGTGGCCTGCGCAGCTCTGATGACGTAACAATTGGGAACTGAAACTACCATTGTAAACCAAAACTTTTCTCTTTGCATGCTTCCATCTTTCACAACTACGCACTTCAGCTTCTGTCTGTGCTGTGTTTGGACGCAATTTCGCTACGCTGCTTCCTATTGCAATAATATCAATAATGTAAACGTTCTTGAACAGGTGCGATTAGGGTGCCAAGTGATCTGTGGCCACATAATCTCTATTGGAAATAAAAATGGAATTAAAATCAGAATACTTCCTCTTCAATATAGGATAACTATATATCGACAGTGTTTCGGCTTTTTCTTTCCTCGCTTTTATTATGACACACTATATATATATATATCATAAACAGCTAGAAAAATAAATTGCTCGCTTTCAACAGGAAAATAAGTTACAAAATGCTTCACTATATTAATATTTTACCGGAAATGTTTAAATTCCATAATGGCATTCAGTTGAAGTGAACTTGTTTTTGTCTGCAACCAGAAATACTTTGCAAAGGTTTCATTTGGGTAATTTGATTAGGGTAAAGCTGTCGAGGGCTATCTGTCTAAGGAGAGAGAAGCTTTCGTGGAGGACTTTCTAAGCGAAATTGGTTCGTATACATGTTACACATACTTTTGAAAAGGAGTCAGATATAAGGAGTATTGCAAACAACAATAACCAGCTTCTAAAAGTGTAGTACAGTAACATATCAACCAGCAATGTATTTTACTGTGCATGTTCCATAACAATGAAAGCTTCCTGAGTCGATATGTTCAGAATCCATATATCACGTTGCATCGAAAACCTTCCCTATTCATAAAATACAGGTAAGAAAACGCATTTTAGAAAGCTCTATAAAATTTTAATTGAAATTTGTTATTATTGAAAGAGAAGAACAAGAATGTTTTATAGTTATAAAGCAGGTGACTAAATATAGTGTTTAAATATTGCATAATATAGCGCTAAAACACTGCTATGTTGATCCAAATAAAAGTAATTCATTTGCCGATTTTCTTATAAGGAACAATTTAATATTTTTTCTCGAAAAATTTTAATATTTTTTAAAATAGGCATACGTTGCCGAGAAAGGCTGAACAAGTTTCTGTGTTTTCGAATCGGATCCAACCGCTCCGCGACGGAAATAATGAGCAAGTTAGATTTGTAAAACTCTTCCGTATAAGACTGTAACATTTATGTTTCGAGTCAAAAATTTAAATCACAGTTTTTTAACTTTTTCACGTTAGATTTGTAAAACACTTCCGTATAAAACTGTCACATTTATGTTTCGAGTCAAAAATTTAAATCACAGTTTTTTAACTTTTTCACGTTAGATTTGTAAAACTCTTTCGTATAAAATTGTCACATTTATGTTTCGAGTAAAAAATTTAAATCACAGTTTTTTAACTTTTCACGTTAGATTTGTAAAACTCTTCCGTATAAAACTGTAACATTTATGTTTCGAGTAAAAAATTTAAATCACAATTTTTTAACTTTTTCACGTTAGATTTGTAAAACTCTTCCGTATAAAACTGTAACATTTATGCTTCGAGTAAAAAATTTAAATCACAGTTTTTTAACTTTTTCACGTTAGATTTGTAAAACTCTTCCGCATAAAACTGTAACATTTATGTTTCGAGTAAAAAATTTAAATCACAGTTTTTTAACTTTTTCACCCTATATTTCGCATTATGATGTGAAATTTCGAGGATTAAAAGCAAAAAATATTATTTAGTAAAAAAAAAAAAAAAAATCGATTATCGGTGAAAAAATAGAGATTCTCTCGAACCGAAACCAAATAATAATTTCTTGATAAGGAGAAACTTTAGAGTGTGGAAACATGTCTAAATAAGAAACATTTCTACTATTCTAAATCTCTGAGTTACCCCCTCCCTCCTTCCCCCAAAACAGTACTCTGTCCATTCAGCATTGTTGGGGTACATATTGGGATATTTCTGCTCTCCTTGTATTACACTATACCTAAATGAAGATCGTTCATGTAATTCAAACTCTGATGTAGATTTTCCAACAATTAAGAGCTATCACACCCAGGGAACAGAAGCAAATCTCGCTTCAGATTTCATTAATCTTAAACTCAACTTGCTCCACCGGTCGAAGTCTTTCACCCATAATCCTCCCCGCGCCATACATTATTAATTCGGCGCTGTTAGTCATGTGATACATTTTCCGCTGTCAAGAGGCTAAAACGGTGACCACTTATTGTGATTCACAACGAAAAGTTGGCTAAGTGAAGAAGTAAAAGGGAGAGACTGGCGCTAAATGAAAGTGACGACACAACATGCTATCCCATTTCTACTGGGAGACCGTCGAGTATGCGTGCGGAAGCAAGCACGTGACTTGGCCACCGCGGGGCCTTTTAGCCTTCGGCGGTAGTATGTCCCGCTTGGCATTAAATCGCACATCACGGCCTTGCTAGTCCGGTCTTCTAGATCGAGAACTTCGATACGATTTCATCTACCCCACGACGGTCCCCCCTTATTAGCGCGGTAGGCAGATGGCTGGATAAGTCAGTCGTCTGCTAGTGCCACAACCATGCAATTAATAGAGAATAGATTAGATTCCATCTCTGCCTTCGAATGATAGGAAGAAGGAAATGATAAAAAATATGAATTTGATAATAGTTAAAAAAGAAATACGAAAGAAGTGTGTTTTCCGTAAGCAATTGGCACGTGCGTGTGCAGCTTGTTACTAAACTGAAGAGAATCAAATCGCAACGTATAAA